TCAATGTCAAGGTTGAGACCCTTTAAGTCCCTCTTTAAAAAACATGTATCATATGATATAATATATAATATAATATATAACACCTTCCCTTTCGAATCAACCAGCAACGGGATTTCCACAGATCATGTGTCTTTCAACAGATCATGTGTCTTTCAACAGCTCATGCGGGTCTCAAACCAAATCTGTAGGAGAGTAGGATAGCGCCAAATTAAAGCTAGGTTGTAGAGACATCTTCATTTTGAGACATGCCTGTGACCATGTGGGATCTGCCCACATGTGTTTGTTCTTCTTTCATACGGGTCAAAAATTGTATGGCCACCAAAACAATAAGGCTATATACTGCAATAGTTTTAACAATGAGCAACACTTGTTCCAAGTGAAGCTGCTGCATCGCCAATCAAACCTGTATGGATCCAAATAACTGAACACATCAAATATCCACGCCGTGAGTGTTTCTTTCCTTTGCAAGCATTGCTTTGCCGAAGGTGAGACACCTCCATTTAGCGCTCTGAAAAAGAGCGCTTTCATCCACCCCACTCAAACCATGTCGGTGTCTCGCAACCGTTTCGGCCCATGGCCATCGCCGACTTCGACCGCATGAAGACCGCCATGCCGACTCGAACCACGACCCGAACGCGCGCGCGCGCGCGCGGAGGAACCACCGTAGACTCCCGGGTGTCCCGGCACATCGGACCAATTCACCGTGTCATAGAACTCTTGTCGTGCATCTTGAGCCGCTTTGGACCTGGAGAGCGAGAATCCTCGAAGATGATGCAGTCTGCCGGAAGATCAAGGTGAAGGCGCATGGACCCATGCTTGACCCAGCCGAGTGGGACCCATCCGACCCATGGTATCTGGGCATTTTGGACATCTTCGGATCCTGGGGGCTTGTAGAAACCTTTTGGACTCGTGTAATATCTGGTGCTCCTCTCTGGCTTGAAGAACCCACCCACTCGCTTTCTAAGCTTCAGTGCAAACCTCCAATGGAGGAGATTCCGCCCAACATCTTTTCGCACGAACATCTCTCCTTTTGTTTCATCAACCTTGGATTTGCTGTCCAGGAAAAAAAGGAATCAACTCCCCACACACACACCAACTTGCAGACTTGTCCATGTCACGCCCCTTACAGCCCTTCCACTTCGTGGGGTACTCTAGGGTAGGTATCTGTATCTACACTCAACTGAAGAATCAAGTCCCCAGTTCTGGGAGTCAAATGCAAGTCCACCATGAACGTTTGGGAAAATACCAGGTCAATCGGCGTCCTTCTGCAACTCACAAGGAAGGCACCACGCAGGAAGGCACCCGCCTTCACCCGATGCGCGGAGAGCGATCGTCAGGCGACACGGCAAGTATAAGACTCCCGGGGTAGCTCGGTAGCTCTAAATAGCCCCTCCCCTTTCCTCCACGAAGCCGTTCTGCGCTGCCGAAGCCTCAGCCCATCGTCCGCTCCCGCGCGACGCAACGGAGCCGCCTTTGCTTCATGCCCTTGTGGATCGACCTCTTGCGGCGACCCAGGGCTGAACGGCTGTTCCCTCCAGAAGCGCATGGACCCAAAAAGCCCGGTGGCGACCCAAACCGGTGGTACCCAGCCGGTGGAATGGAGGAAGTGTGACACATATTTGAAAGCAGTCCTAAGTGGGAACACCAATGAAACGAGACCTGAGAAAGCCTGGCAGACCAGCCCAGACTTTGGAGGATTTTGGTATACCGTACCACTTTGATTCTGATTCACCAACGTATGCCAGTGATTCAGCTCCTTGTGCTGGTCTGTATACTCAAGGTTCAAGGATGATGATCTGTGTGGGAGGAAACATAGGTGTCCATCATCAATCAGGACCTGTTTTGTTACCGACTTCCGTTCGACCATTAAGAACATTGTCGACCTGGTGTTGTAGTGTAAAATCATGTAAAATCCTTAGTTGATTCGGTAGGGCCTATTAAATTAATGGCGCTTGGAAGCGGGGTTGCAGTGGTTTCGGTTCGTTCGGGCACTGTGCCCGTTGAGATGGGGAGTCCATGTCAACCACCAAGGTCCCTTGGGGAGTTGGTTCCATGCACTCCAAACCACCTGTTGAGCTGGGCAAAAGCTCGTTGGGCTTCAGGATGGACGCCCGAAGTAGTTGGCTTCAGGATCTGCTACGAGTAGCTGTAGCTCATGGTGTTCTTCATTGTTCTTTCCCATTTCCGGTTTTTGACTTACGATCTAAACAGGCGGAATGAAGACGACCAGCTATGAGCTTGCAACCAGGTATGAAAAGTCTTGAGGTGTTGAACCCTCAGCTAGACAGGTCGTTTCCCCAGCTAGTTTCCGGTCGTGCCAGTTGATGATTTGGTTGGCGATCCTTGGGCACTTCTAGCGATCCTTCGGCACTTCTGGCGATCCTTGGGCACTTCCAGCACTTGATCCTTACTACTTCACAGCCTTGACCAATTTCCCTGGCTTGGTCACAGCGGCGCCTCAGGGAGGGCTTCTCCATGGCGGTCGAAGCTGCTCAGGAACTCGTTCGCGGAGGGAGTTGTTCGACTTTCGATGTTGCAGTGGGATCTGGGCAAAACGGCCCCCATTGATCAATGTCATCATGTACTGTATCATCCATTCCACATGTTGCGTTTTGGGTCCGAAACGGTCCAAAAACTCTGAAGATACGGTCCGTGCCTCCCGAAAAGCCATGAAAACAGTCCTCGTGATTCATGGGAAAATAGAAGAGCACCATCAATTGTCCGGAGAAACAAGCCTAGGCATGGCGCATGTCGCATGTCCTATCCTGAATGCATGTCCTTTCCTCATCAGCTTCCTTGATCCTATGGCAACTCTGCGCCAAGCGCTAGACTCTAGACTCAATTGCCAAGCCCCACCCGACCCTCGAGTTGATAGGACCGCCAGAATATCAGTGCAGTCACGTCACGTGTAAGAAATGCAACGCCTGGAATATCCGAGCAACCGTTTCCTTCACCAGGATTCAAGAAGTACGTCATGTCGCTGTGGGTGGCACCCAAATACCGACGCACAACCGGGCTACCGGTGGAAAGGGTCGTGAGAAAAGCAGGCGGACGACTGGTGGGGCTCCAGGAATTGATCCATCCCCATACACTGCACCTGGGCCGATATGTGGCAAACACATGCAAAAACAGGCAGAAGGGTCGTTCGCCTCAGTCAAGTGGGGACCCATACTTTGATTGCCTTGCGAGGGTCTGATATACTTTGTAGCGATCATTGGCCGTGGAAGTCCCTGGACAGGTCTCGAGATCGAATCATATAGCCCAGTGAATACGAGGCACTTGCCACATACCGCTGCAGACATGGGACTGGCCCAGTGAAGACTTTCCACAGGGTGGACAAAAGAAATGGGACTGGCATTTTGGACATTCGGGTGGAAGGGGTCCATCTATAGGTAAATTCACATATCTCCTGCGTGGATATGCATGGAGTGTCTGTGCTTGATTAGCGTTGACCCTCTCCAATCAGCATAATGCCCTCAAAAGCTACTCTAAATACAAGCAACAAAACGAAGTCTTTGAACAAATCGGCACTTCAAACGCCCGGCCAAACATCGTTCCTTCCTGTCTCTTTTCCGAAACGGTGAGACGAACGAAATGGGCCACACGGCGTGAATTCGGCGCAAATGCTCGGGCGCAGCCCACGTTGTGCATCGCATCATGCTCGGTGTGTCCAGCATCTTCATCGGTGAGTGTCATATATCTGATTATTACTACAGTGGGTTCAGAGGTTCGATGGCACAATCCCCCCAATGGAGAGGTGGTTTAGATGGACCCCCATCTAAATGACATGCAGGGGTGCCAGTGCCATCGAACCTCTGAAACCACTGTATCTGATAACGAACCCAGCCGGGCCTATCCCCTCTGTAAAATCATGTAAAGCCAACGAAATATGTAACCATGCCGCGATACTTTAAAAGACAAATGAGCGAGCGCCAAAGCCTCTGTTTATGGAGGTATCCCTTTTGGTTGTTCGCTCGATGGCTTGACAATGTCCCGGATTTGGGGTATCAAACTTGATACTAACAGTCCATCATCTGATTGTGACAACATGTTATAAATAGACAAATAGTCAAAGCAAGGACGCTACGAACGGAGCCTTTCGGGCATCGCTACGAACGGAGCGATCGGACGCTACGAGGGCCGGGGCTCCTGGCCTTTACTATTATACTAGGAACAAGGACGCTACTATGAGCGCTCTACAGTAATTTTCGAACAAAACTTAACACTCTTGCACCGTCCGGGACTGCTTCGTTGGTTCGTTGGAGGGTGCAGTTGACAGGAGTCAACTGGGACCGACTGCCTCGTGACTTCCGTGACGTTCGCATGCACGAACTGGGCCGGCCCGGAACATGTCTCTCAGTCTCTTTGACTGACGTCGACATGAAAGCACAGCGTATGACAGGACCATGAAAGGAAAAACCACGACAGGTGGTCGTTGTTGAAGTAGAAAACTGCCCAACCTGTTTTTTGTTTTTTTAGTCGACGTTCGATTACTGTTTTGTTTTTGGCCAATTACTTTGCATCTTTCTTGCACGTCTCTGCAACGGTACCAACGTGACAAAGAAAGCAACGTTATTCGCCTGGCGAGCCTCGTTGAGGTGAAGTCAACTCAATCAGAGCCAAGAACTTGAAAGCTAATCAAACAATTGAAAGTGAATTCAATTCAAATTCTAGCCAACAACTTGAAAGCTCGCAACTCTTCTCCAAAATAAAATCCGATGATATTAATATATGAGATGTCTGTGCCGCCCAGCTCAAGAAAACATCACCCTTCAAGTTTCTTCATGACATCTTCCATGGAGTTGAAAAGTACTGAGTATCCTACTTGGCGAGCCTACTTTGAGGTTGTACCTCAACCTCAGCACTTACAATTTCATAGAATCAATACTATACAAAGTAGACTTCTGCCCTACTGCCTCAAGTTCCAACATAGCAGTGCAATTCATTCTCAGATTCTTGAACACCTGTGCGTACACATGAATCTATACAGAAACATGATAACACGGTCATATCATCGACACCATCACATTCCTCATTCTGTCAAGCTTGGCATGTCGGACTGTGCGCACTTTCGCACTCAGCATCACTCAGCCATGCTTGTAGATCATGAAGCCGGCCTTACAGCATCTCCGATCATTTGACCCCATCTCCTTTCATCTTGCGGCTCTTGCACCAAACGATGTCGGTCGCGGTGAACCGGTGAACGGCTGGCGCGTCACGCGGTCGCTTGCGCGGTCGCCTGGCCAATGTGGAAGTAGACCAACTTGTGCGCCTGGAGCCACGCGGGAAAAAAAGGGCGGCAGGAGGCCATAGGACTTGACGACGATTTGGGTTTCAACCTGTTTGACTCGATTTGATGGAAGGATGAAGCAGGTTCAGACCTCCTGTTTCGGGGATTTGGGATGATTTGGGTGTAACAACTGTGGAAAAGACGTAAGGACTTTCTGAACTCAGTATGCACTATCGGGCAAATACATGGCACAGCACGAGGGTCAGTAGATGGCACCATAGTGGCTATTGTCCCTCCCGCATAAACAAAATGGGTCAAAATGGGGGGATGAATGCCCCCCTCTTTGGGTCACAGAAATCAGCAAACCAACCAATAGATGGGTCAACCTCTCCTCTCCTCTCCTCTCCCTTTTGCTTTCCTGTCTTTTCCTTTTCTTTCCTTCACATCTCCTTTCCCTCTCATTGCTGTTCCCTTCCCTTTCTTTCTCCATTGACCTATTTTCAGAACGGGGCTTGATGATAGCCAAGAAGTCAATTTGTTTTTTGTTTCACTGTTTGTTTTGCGAAAACTTGTCGTTTTCACGTCGTGCTGGAAAGCCAGCATGCATGGCGCAACCCCAACCCCGGTTGGGCCATCTACACCTATGTCAAAAACGCATGTTTTACATCCAGGGGTCAATGGCGCATCAGGTTTTTGAAATTCATCTACCAGTATTGCTTAATTTATGAAGTAAGTCTTCTCTCACCTCCCATCTACCGGTACATGCAGTAGTTTGCCAATCGAACAAACTGCGTGTCAGGCGCTGGTTTCCGAAACCAGACTACCCTTGACTGATACATCAGCCATTGCACCGACAAGTGCTGTACGACGAATTAAGAACAAATTGATGATCAATAATGTTTACAACTCGCTTAGGACGCATAAAAACGAGTCCCAAGTGGCATGACAAATCTCCAGCACGGAATCAGCCGTGTTCCACAGCTTACCCAAGGCAATTCGGGACATGACCTGCTTTGGTCCAATTTAATAGCCACTCCCAGCTCGCTGGTCTCCCTCACCGCATTACAGTAGTCCATCCGCGCGTATCACATCTGCGCCTCGTAGGTCACCCAAGCTCCAAAGTGTTTACCAACGAAGACATGCCACGCGCCACTGAAGGTCCTGGCCACGCGCCACGCGTAACGTGGTGCCCAAGACATGCCCCCCCATCGACGCCAGGTGCACGGGCAAAAACTGGTATAGTGGGGTTCAGAGGTTCGATGGCACAATCCCCCCAATGGATCGGTGGTGTTTATACGGACCCCCCATCTTTTCAGGATCATGTAGCGCCATGGGTGCCAGTGCCATCGAAGCGCTGAAACCACGGTAGAAATTCGACGCTTCGATGGCACTCACACCGCCCCTTCCATGACGCTGCCGCTGGATGGTTCCGTTGTTCCCACGTCAGACGGGCCGATGCAGACGGGGTGTCAAGGGTTGTGACCGATCTAAACCCCAACTGCATCGGTCAGGACTGAAGTGGGGTGAAGCCCATGCTGCCCTCACCTCTTCCAGTGCATCTTGGCACTGTGCGTACATAGCGACCAAGCTACCCTCAATGAGGTTACCTATGGGATAGTCTATATATAGTCTATAGTATTATATAATACTAGTATATATATATAGGGTGGTTCCTAAACCTCTCTTGGTATGGGCGGGGTGCTGCCGGCGCAAACAAAAAGAAGCGAGTGCTCTTCCTTTGACGGAACAGGCCAGCAGCACTTGTCAAACTCTTTCTTGATGAACTGCGCCACCTGTTGCGGTTGACGCCCAGAGGGGATAGCTCCATTGGCAAAAATCGTCTACAGAACGTTTGGCTAATTATATACTTGACCTCGAGTCGTCCCCACCCTAAGAGGCAGTTTGAAAGAAGGCAGGACACATGTAATGACAGACTATCCTAACAAAAGCTTCTTGACAACGTGCATGGACACGGCTTTTTGACTTTTGTTATGGCGTCAATCAAATCTGGTATGTGCTTCAACACATCGTCTAGCATAAGGCTGGGAAATGTTCTGGACTGTGTTTTGACGTCCCTTGTGGCGTGTGCTCTGACATCTGTCCTGCCGTGAAGGTTGGCATGTGTTCCGACATGTCAAAACATGTTTCTCCATCAAGTCTGACAAGTGTTCTGGCATCACGTCTGACAAGTGTTCCAACAGTTGTTCTGATATGTGTTCTGGCACCACGTGTGACAAGTGTTCCGCTGGTTGTCTACATTTGTTCTGATTCTGTTCCGGCATGCATTTTGGCGTAGTCTGTCATCTGTTCCGACATTTGTGCTGGCATCAAGTATGGCACGCCTTCAAACGTGTGTTCTGACACATTTTCCGACATTAGTTGATCTGACCTGAGTTCCGGCATGTGTTCTGTCACCTGCCAAAGGTCTAGAGTGCACCACTCTGCAGCCCGCACCGGCAGTGGAGTGGTGGCGGACCTTCGCAGACTCGGTGAAGCACTCTCTGCATGTTAGGAGCTTAACTCAAGCCCCTCACTTTCAAGCAGAGCCCACAGCTATCCCTAGGGCTCCAAGCACCTTCCAAGAAGGTGTTTGGGATGGGTTTGGAGGGTCCAAATACCTTCTGAGGAGGTACTCGGTACTTGGAGCCCTAGGGCCATGTGTTCCAACCACTTCTGGGCCTCGCAAAACGACCGGCGCTCGTTCTTGAAGAGCGAGATGATGCCTGACGCCGTGCGGAGCGTTCCGCTCACGGGACCCTGGAAGTCAGCCGGTTGGACACTTGGAATGGGGGTTCTCCAAGGTTTGTACAAGGATATCCGAGTGGCAAACATGCTTCTTCAAATCAGCTCGAGAAGCAAATGACACTCTCAAAGCATACACAGGACAGTGCTACAACTACAACTACGGTACTTCCACACTGCCCCACAAGGAAGCAGCGCAGCGCATCGAAACCCGGAAAACCAAGGCCGCAGACGATGCCTTTCTTGGCGACTTCGATGGCAAAGTCCACCTGGCGGATTAGCGAGTGTTGGCGGCGCCAGGAGAGCTGGTCGAAAGATGTTTCTGCCCAACTCATCCCAAAACCAAAGTGATTCAACCAGGACCCGACACCGTGGGGTGCCCTGTCTGGAAGCCGAACGGCCAGGTAGTGTGGGGATGTAGTGGGGTAGTCCAGCCAGGACACCCCGAAAACGGAGGGAAGTGATTCAATGTCCTCTTTGACATGGTCAGTTACCGTGGTTCAGATTCATCATGTCATCATGTCTCGTGTAAAATGACAGGACTTTTCATTTGGATATGACACTGGATATGATATGACATGACCATTATCTAAGCCAAGTACCTTCTCAGAAGGTGATTGGAGACACTGTTATGCAGGTGCCAGGAGGGTCCAGTCGTACCTTCTGAGAAGGTACGACTGGATCCCTTGGGATTGAGAATCACTTGGGCCATAAAACGGTCATTTCGCACATCCACTTCGTCCACCATCGGACGGACCACCCCGTCCCCGTTCCTTCAGCGTTCCTTCAGCGTCACGCCTCGGCCTTGCTCATGTCTACAATGTGCATCTCGGGTTTGGGCAGTTCAGGCACTTCCTGGGAACGGTCCGACCGGTACTCCCAAAAGCGGTGCGGTATGACCGGTATGACCGGTCTGTGATATGAAGGCTGCTTTGGGTCTGTGATCGACCCTTGGGTCTGTGCACGACCCTTCCGTTTGCCTCGTTTGAATATGTGGTTGTTATCATCAATATAGGAAGGAGCCATTACAACAGGTTGTTATAACCTGGTTGTGTTATAGCCATTTCAATATACTGGTTGTTATACCTATAATAGAAAAAACCTTCCGATGTGTTTCATGAATATTGTCCTGACCATGTCCGCAGAACTCGGGCACTGTTGGGCGATGGGGAGTTCAGCGAACCACATCATCATAAAGTCTCCCAAACTGCAACTCTACTTTGATCTTTTGCAGAAACATTTTTTAAAAAAAAACAGTATCATCATGTAACATGTATCATCACAATATCTCCTCCCCCAGTATTTCTCTGTCTCCAACACTCAAAACCACGTGGTTTATTCGGCCACAACGACCTCGGACTAACCCTGGAGACCTGACCCGGTGCCGGCGAAACCCGGACTAACCCGGCGGCGAAATCGCTCGCTGTCACCGGCCTTGGCATTTTGCCCCTGGGCGGCCTGGTGCGGAAAACGGGCGAAGATACAAAGCAACGACCGAGGGACTTGACCGTGGGACGTTTCGGTATCGGGCCTGACCCCTGCCATGGAGGGCGACTCGGATTCTTAGAGTAGAGGACATGTCCTCCAGGATGCAACACTTTGGCAGCACTAAGAGATACACAGCTCTACAGCTCTACACTCTAACCATCTCTTTCTTCAATCTATATTGAGGATGGGCCTTTAAAGGGTTCTAACCCTTTAAGGCACCCAGCGACCGCGACCGGCCTGGACGAGTACTGGACAGACTAGCACTCATGGCACTGAAGGGACTGCCGGGACCAACGGGTGGCCAACGGCTCAGCGCAGTTCCATCCTTGATTAAAAAACAAACGAAAGTCGAAAAAAACAGTCAAATGGAAAAGTCAAAGGCAACAACACGTCAATTGGACACGCAAAAAAAAAAAGGTCGAAAAACAAGTCAACAAAAAGTCGAAAATAGACCACAGCCCGAAAATGTATACAAAGCAAAATACATGTCAAAAAAGTCGAACAACAAAGTGTCAAAACAGTCAACATCATAAGAAAACCATTCGAAAGAAATAACACAAAAATCAAAAACATGTCGGGAAACGGTCAAAAAATGAAAATAAATTAGGAAACAAAATTAAAGAAACAATCGGATCTGTGCAAATTGACGTTTGTTTGACTTTAAGTAACTTTCTGGTTTGATGTGTTTTTGACTTTGACTTTTGGGACTGACGTTTTTTGATTTGTGTTTGATGTGCTTTACAAATTGAAAACAGGTTCTCTCCAATGAACTATTTTTCATAAGACTAGACGACTATGCTCTGGTGGAAGAGACCCTTCCTGGCCACCCCCCCCAGGCCCCGAACCGACTTCGGATGTGGGCGGGCCACCCCCCCCCCAGCTCCTAAGGAGGTCCACCTACCCTGGTCAACTGGGCCACCCAGGTGCCATGACCCACGTCCGCACGTCGCCTGAGACTGATCGGTCATCACGGTCCGGCGGTCCGCGCGCGAATCGGGGCCCGTAGACGGTCCGACCGGGCGAAGAGCGAAGAGAAAAATGAGCAAATGATACGACTGTTGCCCATGCTGGTCGCCTCAGAAACGTGAGAAATAGCATATCGATAGTGCGGCTGCGCTTGTGATATATTTAGGCAAAAACATCCAAACAAACAGTGTTCCAGTTGTCTTGAAAGTAGTGCAGTCACTTTGCCAGCATTCTTTGACCATGTTACGTGGTTGTGTTCCGAGTTGAATGCAGGAGTATGTCGCCTGGATATTGCGAATGCATGATCCCAGCACACCGAGCTAAAACATCTTGATCCCAGGCAGCAAAGCGAGACGCGGCAGATTTGCATCTTGCAAAACATGTTCTACCAAAGTTAGCTGGGTTTCGACGGAAACAAATCCCAGTCGCTATCTAAATTAAGGTAAACATAGAGCCTGACTCACATGCAGGTCGGACAATTCCAAAGTCCCATAGGGGTGGCTTCGATTGGCTAAAAGAGTCAGGATGATAATAATGAAATTAAATCCGGTGTTGCTCCCAGAAATCTGGGGAAGATTTCAATAGTTGTTTGGCAATTCCCCCACAAAACAAAGAACATGTTTGGAGGATACTTGCTCTAATGCTGTTGCCCAAATGGATGCAATGGCAATGGATATGGAGGACTCCAGTCATTCTTGAGCTTGCAAGTTGATTCTCATGCTCAAAAACAATGGTAAAGCAGCTTTGGACCCGTTTTCAAAGGAAGACCACATTGGCCGTGGTGATCCCCAAGGGAAAAGAGGCAATAGAAGGACTCCAGGACCTATATGGAATAACTACTGGGTTCACCCGAAGCTCGTCCCCGCATGACACCATCAGTGCCCATGAACAAGAGCATGCGATGTTTCTGGAATGTGTATCTATGTGTAGACGGCATCATTATGCAGGTCAAAACAGATCACAAAAAGCATCAAGGACGGAGCTCAGATCTCTCAACTGTAAATCAGTCACATGATGTTGAAACCTTGCCCCCAGCCTGTACTGTGGATGATGACGCTTCCTTTAATAGGATCCTCATGGAGCCTCAAGTAGAAACAGTGAGTCTTGATGACATGCTCCTAGTGCTACAGGCTGCTACACAGTAGGTCCCACCTACCTTCACCCCAAGCCATTCTACGCATTCTACTTTTCTCTTCCTCTCTACCAAGTCTATTATGCTCAAGACTCCCTGAGCACCAAGAGATCATGGCTCCGGACACAGCGCGGCCAGAATCCAAAAGTAGCAGTACCTGAATCCATTACATGTATGTAAAAGACCAGTACCCTCTTAAGTACCACCGCTATCGGCCGCCAATTTATGATCCTACCAACTGGTGACTATCCTGAAAAAAAACAAAATAACTGTTATCATGCTTTATCCGGGGAACCTCCGAGAGGTCAAAATCCGCAACATCTCAAAACCACCTTTGGGATCCTTTGGGGAGGTCTGGGGAGCCCCTCCAATCTCCGAGCCGATTGATGCCGTGGTTCGGAGACATCTGGGGTTTCACCGCACATGGTTCGCAGAACCGGTGTGGCCGGGTCAAACGGTGGATCGAAGTGGCAACTGGTGGAATCCAACGAGAGGCTTGGAGCCAAGTAGATTGAAGATCACAGCATCTTGTGACACTTATGGATCTCAAGCACCCGAGTTACATGCCGTAATTAGTATACCATTACTGTAAACTACGAACATATCATATCTATACTGCATACAATACAATCCGATGACTATCTATCTATGCACCCGTCTTCTTCCATCGCCCAGGAATCTTGGTATTTCTTAGTTCTCCTGTTTGCTTGTACAAGACTCCTTTCGACTCAAGGGTCTCTGCCCCAACCTCATCATTTGACTCTCCAGTTTCTCTTGAACGAGTATACCTGTCTTGAAAGAGGGAGAAGAATATGTGGTCAGGATACCTCAAGGTAAATCATGGCAACTGTATCTTCCGTCATGAACTTGACTAATGACCTTTGTACGGACTAGGCCGGTGATCGATGACCACCCACTGGGTCAGACCGGATCCTGACCAGCTGCTCCTGCGAGCCCTACTCGCCACAGCTTCAAAGGGGCAGCCCGCGCGGGCAAAGGAAGCAGGTGGAGGCGGGCAGCAAGGTAGAATAGCCAAATATACAGCCAACAAAATAAGAGTAAGAGCGGTGTGGACCTCTTCAGATTCACTATGTTTAGATATATCTTTATATTAAGATTATTAGATGGGTAGATGCTTTCTTGTCATGCTTTTGAATGAGTCACTGAAGAACGTATATACCAGCACCTTCCAACAGGTCTCCTTTGGAGGGTTTGTGTCTGCCCTAACAGGTTTCAATTGGTGACCTGTGAAGTCGGTGCTGGTATATATATATATAT